GATATATTTTGGTGCAATTGGATAAAGAGATAACTAATGCACTCCTTGCTCTATGTTTCTAACCCTGCCTTTTAATTCCCCTTGTACTGTCATTATATATTAATTTCTTTAGTTTGTTTATTGTGTCTGTGAGAACAATGACATTTCTCTTCGCGTTGCCTTTGTATTCCCAGCCTGGAAGAGTGTTTGGAATGTAACAGATAGTCAATAAAAAATGGATGAGTAATGAGAGTCTAAAATTTTTATCCAAGAGATGATAGCTTTTCATTTACTGTTTTTAAATCAGTGTACAGTGGTCTGACTTTATGGCCATTTGTGATTACAGTAGACATCTTTGTGGAATGTCTGCCCCATTCACTATGATCCTCTTACTTACGGCAAAAAGTCAATATGACCGCAAGCACTTGCCATTGACCATTGGATGATTGCTGGACACCAGATCTGCTATGTTGGTGACTGGATCATGAGGGATCTGCCATTATGAATGGATTAATCCATTCATGGACTAAGATTAATGGGCTAATAGATTAATGGGTTATCATAGGAGTGGGACTGGCGAGAAAGCTCTCACCAGATTCAGTCTCTTGACCTTCGTCTTCTCAGCCTCTGGAACTGTAACAAATAAATTTGTTTTTATATTTATTTATTTATTTATGTATTTATTTTTGAGATGGAGTCTCGCTGTGTCACCCAGGCTGGAGTGCAGTGGCACCATCTCAGCTTACTGCAAGCTCCACCTCCTGGGCTCACGCCATTCTCCTGCCTCAGCCTCCCCAGTAGCTGGGACTACAGGTGCGACCCACCATGCCTGGCTAACTTTGTTTTTGTATTTTTAGTAGAGATGGGGTTTCACTGTGTTAGCCAGGATTGTCTCGATCTCCTGACCTTGCGATCCACCTACCTTGGCCTCCCAAAGAACTGGGATTACAAGCGTAAGCCAATATGCCTGGCCCAATAAATTTGTTTTTAAAATAAATTACCCAGTTTCAGGCCAGATACAGTAACTCACACCTAGGCAACATGGCAAGACCTCATCTCTAAATATATGCGTGTGTGTGTGTGTGTGTGTGTGTATATATACACACCAATGCAGACTGATATAAATATATAAAAATTAGCCAGGCATAATGGCATATGCCTATAGTCCCAGCTCTTCAGGAGGCTGAGGCAGGAAGGTAGCTTGAGCCCAGGAGTTCAAGGTTACAGTGAAAAATGAAAATGAAATTAAATAAAACGTATAAATTTCCCAGTTTTAGGTATTCTATTACAAGCAACAGAAAAGGGGCTAAGACAGAAAATTGGTACTGGGTCTGAATATTTGTCCCCCCCAAAACTCATTATTGTAGTCTGTTTGTGTTGCTATAAAGGAATACCTGAGGTTATGCAATTTATAAAGAAAATAGGTTTGTTTGGCTCATACCTCTGTAGGCTGTACCAGAAGCATGGTGCTGGCATGCACATCTGGTGAGGACCTCAGACTGCTTCTACTTATGGTGGAAAATGAAGGAAAACTGGTATGTAGAGACCGCACAGCAGTGGAAAGCAAGAGAGAGAAGGGAGGAGGTGCCAGCTCTTTTTAACAGCCAGCTCTCATTGGAACTAACAGAGTAAGAACTCATTCACTCCTGGGAGCATGGCACCAAGCCATTACGAGAGATCCACATCCACAACCCAGAACCCACAACCCAGACATTACCCACCAGGCCCCATCTCCAACACTGAGGACCACATTTGAATCTGAGACTTGGTGGGGGCCAAAGAAACCATATCCAAACCATAGCATTCATGTTGAAATTTATTTCTTCTTGTTTTAAATACTTGTTTTGTTTTTTATTTTTGTGGGTACATAGTAGGTGTATATATTTACGAGGTCATGTCAAAATTTAATCCCCAATGGGGAATATTAAAAGATGGGACCTTTATGGTGTGATTAAATCATGAGGGCTCTGCCCTCATGGATAGATTAATTCATTCATAGATTAATGGATCAATAGGTTACTGAATTAGATTATTGGGTATCCCATGAGGGGAACTGGTGGCTTTACAAGAAGAGAAAGAGAAACCTGAGCTAGCACACTCAGCCCCATGGACAAGTGAGGCCCTGTGCTGCCTCAAGACTCTTCAGAGAGTCTCCGCCTGCTTTCACCAGGTATAGCCCCTCGACCTGGGACTTCCTAGCCTCCATAACTGTAAGAAATATTTTTTTTCTTTATAAATTAGCCAGTTTCTGGTATTCTACTATAAGCAACAGAAAATGGACTAGGACAAGACCTGAGCTGAGCCAATCAGAAATTCTCCCCTGGGTATTAGGAATTAAAATCCACAGACGGAGAAAAAAGAATCTCTGAGTGGCTGTCCCTCTGCATCAATCTGGACAAGCTGTGTTGCACTGTGTTAAGAAACAACAGCAACAACCTCCAGAGCCTTAAGCAACAAAGGTTTGTTTCTTATCACAATATGTGTTGCTGTGGTTTGGATATAGTTTGTCCCCAAGAAATCTCATGCTGAAATTTGATCCCCAATGTGGTGATGTTGAGAAATGGGGCCTAGAGGGAGGTGTTTGGGTCATGGGGTGGATCCCTCATGAAGAGATCATTGCTGTTCTCGCCAAAGTCAGTTCTTGTTCTGACACAGAGCAGAGACCCCTCTTAAGGTCTTGTGGGGCACCCTCCACCAAAAGATTAAAATAAAAAAAAAGCTTGACTTCCTTAAAGAAAATTCCAGACATCTAGCTAGTCCTAAAAAACAAAAACAAAAACAAAACAAAAAACTTAAAAGCAAGAAGATAATAATAGCTTAAAACAATAGCCAAAAAATTAATGTTATAGGATATTTTATTCCCTGTAAAAACTAAAGGTAACATCTTAACGTATGTCCCAAGTTGTTTTTCAGAAACTCAGATCCCCACTAAATGGACCCACTGGCACATAGGCCTCAAATAAGGGAGAACTGAAGACTAAACTCTGACTACTATTCTTCGTTCTAAATTTCTTCTTGATGAGCCTAAAGGAGGCCATGCCCATGAGCCCAAGTTAACATCCTTTTCTGCTGATGTCAAATTTTTAGACAGTTTCACCTTCTTAACAAATCACAAGTCAGAAAATCTTTAAATTTCAACTATCACCTGTAGGCTCCCCCACTTTGAGATGCCCTGCCAATGCATGGCAGGGAAGCCCCAAATTGGGGATTTGCCCAGTAGAGTTCTTGGCTTCGCCAAGAAAGAATTCAAGGGTGAGCTGGTGGTGTTAAATAGCAACTTTTATTGAAGTAGTAGTGTCCAGAAGCAGCAGAGATACTGCTCCTTGCAGAGCAGGGCCACCCCATAGGCAGTGTGTCCAGAGTAGCATCTCAAAGGCTGTTCTTGTGTCATATTTATAGTCACTTTTAATTACAGGCAAATTAAGGGGTGGATTATGCAGAAATTTCTAGGAAAAGGGTGGCAACCTCTGGGTTGTCAGGTTGTTGCCATGGAAAGGGGCATTAATATGGAAAGCAGCTTCCTCCCTGGCCCTGTTGTAGCTAGTCCTCAATTTGGTCTGGTGTCCAAGTCCTGCATCCTACTCACTGCATTTTTAGGTTAAGCCAATATATAACCTCCATATATTGATTTATGACTTTGCTTATAAACTCTGACACCCCTGCCTTTAAAAACCCTTACCTATAAACAATTGGGGAGTTCAAGTCTTAAGCACTACCTGACCAATTCTCCTTGCTTGGGACCCTACAATAAATGCCTCACTTTCTTTCACTATAATCCTGATGTCAGTGTTTGGTCTTGCTGCACAGGGCGATTGAACCCATTTGGTTTGATAACAGCTCTTGAGAGATTGGAAAAGACAGTGTCCCTGAGAGAGTGGGTTGTTAAACAGTGAGCTTCCACCTCCTGTTTGGTCCCTTTTCACATGTATCAGCTTCCCCTTTGACCTTCTACCATGTTGTGACACTGCACAAAAAACTGTAATCAGAACTTGAGCAGATGCTCACTCCATGCCCCTTAAGCTTTCCAACGTGCAGAACCATGAGCTAAATAAACCTCTTTTTTAAATCCAAGCATACCTTGAAGATATTGGGGCTTCAGTTCCATACTACCACAATAAAGCAAACATCACAATAAAGCAGTTCACACAATGCTTTTGGTTTCCCAGTGCATATAAAAGTTATGCTTACATTGTACTGTAGATTATTGTGTACAACAGTATTATGTCTAAAAAAATGTACATACTAAGAAAAATAGCTCAGAGCTGTCTGAGCTATGTGAGGTATGCAAAATTTATTAGGCCCGGACAGACGTGAATACTGGCTTCCATCACGCCTTCCCACGTCTAAGGGTAATTGTTAAAGACATTTTGTTCTTTACCAGCTGCCTCGCCCATTATCTTTATGTTCCTGGAATTTGTGATACACGGAAGAAAGCATAGCCAGTCAATAGCTTAAGTTTTTAAAATATAAATTATTGGTAAACCAGTTAAGATCTGCCTCCTCTCCTTTCCTTAAAAACCTACTCTGACTGCTTCCTAATTGGAGTGTATATTCAAGGCAACTTGAATCTAAGCTCCTGAGTGGCCATTCTCAAGCACTGAGCCCAAATCAACTCTATACTTAATATTATTTTCTGAATTTTCTTAAAGTTGGCAACACCTTAATTAAAAAATACTTTATTGATCATGCTTATGAACATGATCAAATGAGAATCAACTTTCCTGTGTATGTGGGGAAGATATGCAACTAGTAATGCAGAAAGAGGGGAATGGGAAGAGGGAGAAAAGAGGGGCAGACACGGAACAAATGAGAGAGAAGGAAAGGGAAGTCATAAGTATATCAAGGATGACAGAAAATAAAAGGCGGATAAAATTCAAACGAAAAAGAAAGGAAAACCCCAACACCCTCCAAGAGGTCTCTCTGAATCTGGACCACCGGCTCCAAGCCCCAAACAGAAATCTCCCAGACAGCTTGTGCGCCGCGCGTCCGGCTGACATCGGCTTCCAGGATCAGCTCGCGGCGCGGTACTGTGACGTCACCTGAAGGGAGCACTTCCGGTCTTGTGCCGCCTTCCCAGGACCCTCAGGGAGAGCCGGCCGCCTTCCAGGCGGACAGGTGAGGTACAGCTTCACGAGCTCAGGGTGACTGCCCAAAGGAAGGACGGGCGGGCAGGCACGCGGGATCTGGCGCCTCTTCTGTGTGGTTCCTCGCAGAGCCCCTGTTGCCCTGGGCCAGATGGCCCGTAGCAGCGAAAATAATACTGTTCCGACCGCTCGCTAGGTAGGAGCCACTTGGCCTGGGTGTCCTTTGAGCTGCAGGCCGGGCAGTCGCTCACCCGAGCGCAGGAATGCAGCATTTGAACCCCTAAGTGCAGCCCACCTGTGAGGGAATCTTACGGCTCCCCCGTGGAGGAGTAGAGGCCAAAAGGTTGGGCAACCGGCCGGGAAGAAGTGGCTAGGAGGGGTCAAACTCTGGGCCATGTGTGTTCTTTGTCCCCAGCGTTTAGTGCTCACGCCGCCTTTTATTCACGGTGAAGACCTTTACCGTAAACTCTCACCCTGGGGTCTTAGTTTGGTTTTCTTCCCCACGCAAGACAGGATGCAGATTGGAGCACTTTATTCCTTGATTAATTAATTCGTGTCTTCCCTCGCAAGTAGTTACCGGACAACTGCTTTGTGTCCTGTGTACCAAACACAAGACGTTGATAGTCCTGGCCGGGCGCGGTGGCTCTCACGCCTGTAATCCCAGCACTTTGGGACCCCGAGGCGGGCGGATCACGAGGTCAGGAGATCGAGACCATCCTGGCTAACACGGTGAAACCCCATCTCTACTAAAAATAAAAAATAAAATAAAAAATAAAAATAGCCTGGCGTGGTGGCGGGCGCCTGTAGTCCCAGCTTCTAGGGAGGCTGAGGCAGGAGAATGGCATGAACCCAGGAGGTGGAGCTTGCAGTGAGCCGAGATCGCTCCACTGCACTCTAGCCTGGGCGACAGAATGAGACTGTCTCAAAAAAAAAAAGTTGATAGTCCTTTAGTTGAAAGAACAAATCTGTTTGGAGAAAGAGATACAACCAAAAGAAACCCAGAAGATTTAGAAGCATCTCCAGAATGTTTATTCTCAAAAGCTGTTTTTTAATTAAACTTCTTTATGAAACTATAAATAGGAGTGTCTCTGTTGTGTGTTTTCCCATTTTTCCACCTAAAGGTGAAAGGCTTGGAAACCTGCTAAGGCCCGTCTTTTCAGCATGTAGCATTCTAGGGCACAATCAAGGCAACACAATGGTGCCCATCTAAAATTTTGCATTTTAATATTTTGCTTTTTGATAACTTAATGCCTTCAGACTGGAGGACTTTTTCTTTGTTAAAATGTTGCTCTACTTTCAGCATTTTCTCCCTTGTAGTATTACCATGATATATTTAAGATTAAGCACTTAATTCTGAAGTCACTTTAAGTATACTTCAACCAAAGGGAAATTAGTATATTATTTCTAATGAGTGTATTTAATATAGGTAAGTAGTTTGTACACTTATGAAATTCTTGGCATTAATTGATGTCCAGAAGCTGAAAGCTGCTCTCTGGCACAATTAAAAAGTGTGTGTGTGTGATTACAAGAAAGTTTGATGTCATAGTTGCCACCTTAGACATAGCAAAGGAGTTGTGCAAAACAAATTGCCTTTTTCTCGTAAAGATAATTCAGCAAGTTCATCTTGAGTGTAATGTGTGCTTTAGTTTTTAATATGTCCTCAGCAGTAGTCATGGATTTTATCTTCATTTAAGCTTGATTTTCTGGCCCACTTGCACAGATTTAAGAAGATTCTCACTGGGGTTAGTGTGCAGTCATTCAGATAGCAAATATAGCAAAAGTAGGTGAAATGTAAAAGTCATTAAAAAAAGAATTGTGAAATTGCTCATGTCGCAACCATATCAAGCAGGAGCAAAGACAACTACACAGAATCTTGGTATAACATACAGTCATTACCACTTGGACTTTCTCCTACAATATTTTGCAGTTTGTTTTTTGGATTCTTTAGTGTTATACAATATTTCAAAGTTATATGTGACTGGGAAATATTGGAATAGGTATCAGAGGACTGTAGAATTTATTTTGCCATTTAAATGCTTATGTCCTTGAACAAAAAATGTAAACATCTTTGACCTTTAATTTCTTGTTCTATTAATTGCCTGCTTTTTAGGTCTTCTTAAGGTCTGATGAGAAAGGAAGAGACTATAATTTGCAAATGAAAAGAAGTTAAAAGAAAAAGCAGTGGTTTTATTGCAAGGGGCTAGATGGTGATCAAGTCAGGATATAGAAAACAATTTTTGTTATTACATGTTATTCTGGAGAAAGATGAGATGGATACCCATAGTTACAGCAGACTGTAAAAAAAATTCTGTTTATGCATCATCTGTTTACATGTTGACTTTCACCTGTATGTTTGCAAGTTTATATAGGGCTATGTGCTAAGATTCCCAATTTTCCCCTTTCATACCACTTATACCAATTGCAATTAAATACATATATAATTATTAATAACTTTTTAAAAAACCTTTTCGTTTTGAGATAATTAAATAGTCACAGGAAGTTGCAAAAAACTTTACGGGGAAGTCCCTGTGTACCCTTAAGCCTGCCTCTCTCGATGGTAACATCTTGGATAACTGTGGCACAATGTTAAAACTGGGAAATTGGCATTGATGCAGTTCACAGAGTGTATTTCCATTTCACCAACTTTATAAGGACTAATTTGTGTGTGTACACCGGTCTATGTGTAGCTTCTTATAACTACCATAATCAAGATAAAGAATTATTCCATCACCACAAGGCCCCCTGATGCTGCCTCCTTATAGTCAAACTGTCTTGTCCCAGCTCTATCCCTAACCTGTGGCAACCACTGCTCTATCTCTATAATTTTGTTACTTCAAGGATATTGTGTAGATGGACTCATACCATATGTAACTTTTTGAGATCCATCCAAATTGTGTGTATCATGCATTCCTTTATTGCTGAGTAGTAGTCCATGGGATGGCTATGCTGCAGTTTGTTTAACCATTCATTCATTGAAGGACATTTGGGTCATGCTATTATAAATAGAGCTTCTATGAACTTTTGTGTGAAGGTTTTTGAGTGAACATACATTTTTCCCTTTCTGGGATAAATGCCCAAGAGTACAATTACTAAATCCTATGGTAAGTGTATGTTTAGTGAATTAATACTTGTTTAGCTTGTTGATATGGTGAGTTACATTGATTTTAAAATGTTGAACATAACTGGTATAAATCTCACTTGGTTATAGTATATAATTGTATATTTCCATATTCTGTTTGCTAATATTTTGTTAAGGTATAAGTACACAGGTATGAGAGGTTAAGGTGTAGGTATGAGAGATGTGTTGTAGTTTTTTGCTTGTTTGTTTTGTGCTGCCTTTGCCAGGCTTTGGTAGAGCAATAGTATTCTACATGGTTTTTAGTGATAACCCTTGTTTCATTATTACTGCTGTATTAGTAATTTGTGTAGTTTTATCTTTTTCAGTGGTGATTTGCTGATTACAGTGACCTTTTTCAAAGAACTAGCTCTTTATTTCATCTTTGTCTATTTTTAATGTCATTGATTTCTGCTCTTTTATTATTTTCTTCCTTCTCACTTTAGGATTATTTTGCTTCTCCTTGTCTAGTGCTGTGATTATTAGTTTAAGATCTTTCTTTGTTTCTAAAGTAAGCATTTATTGCTATAATTTCCCTCTTGGCATTGCTTTAGTTGCATCTCACAGATTTTGCTGTCTTGTATTTTCATTTCCATCCAGTTCTATATATTTTAAATTTTTCCTTAGAAGTTTGCTTGACCCATGAAAATATTTGGGAGTGTGTCGTTTAGTTTCCAAGTTTTTGGTGATTTACCCATTGTTTTTCTGTTGTTGATTTTTAGATGATCAGAAAACATAAGCTGTGTAATTTTTAATTTTTAAGTTTGTTTTATGACTGCGGGTATGGTGTATCTTGGTGGATGTTCCATGTGTGCTTGAAAATCATGTGTATTCTGCTATTGTTGGTTGCAGTGTTCGATACGTGTCAGTTATGTCCTGTTCATTCATGGTGTTCTGTTCTTCTGTGTCTTCTTGATTGTCTAATAGTTATTTTTGTTGCTGAAGATCCCAACTATAATTACAAATGTCTCCTTTTTCCTTTTAGCTCCGTTGGTTTGGCTTCATGTATTTTAAATATCCATTGTTTGGTGCATATACATTTAAGATGTTATCTTGATGAATTAATCGTTGTATCTTTATACAATAATTTTCTTTGCTCTGACGTCTACTTTATCTGATGGTAGTGTAGCCATCACTACTTAAAAAAGAGTAGTTAGCATGGCATATCTTTTCCATACTTCTATTTTCAACCTACCAGTGTCATTATGTTTTAGTGAATTTCTTGTAGACACTATATGCTTGGGTCCTTTAAAAAAAGAAACTACTCTGCCAAACTCTGTCTTTTAGCTAGTATAGTTATATCATTTACACTTAAAGGTAGTTGATACGGTAGGGCTTAAGCCAGCCATTTTGTTACTTGTTTTCTGTTTATTTCCTGTTTTTCATATTTGTTTCTCTTCTGTTTCTGTAGGTTTCTTGAATATTTTCAGAATTCTATTTGACATGTTTATAGTATTTTTGAGTATCTGGCTAAGTTAACCTTTTTTATTGTGCTTTAGGTATAACAATAGATGTAACAACTTATCACAAGGGATACTTTTATTGCCTTTTGCCAGTTGAAGTGTAGAGACCTTACTTCCATTAAGGTCCTTTTTCTTTTTCCCTTTTTAAAATTTAATAGTTGTATTTTCTCTATACATCTTGAACACCACATCAAATGTTGTTATAGTGTTTACTTCAACTATCAAATGTGATTTAAGAAACTCATGAGATGAAGAATAGTTCATTTTATATTTACCATGACTATTACTCATTCCAGTGTCCTTCCTTTACTCAAATTAAATCTTATTGATACATCATTTCCTTTTTGTTTGAGGAACTTCTTTTAGGAGAACTTCCTAAAGATATGTCTGTTAATGACAAATTAGTTTCCATCATCTGAGAATGTTGTTCCCCTTTGTTCCAGAAGGGTGGTT